ATTGGTTGGGGTCGATTTGACACAGAATAGCTGGCCCAATGTATTTAGAAACAACGAATTCTTCTGCTACTTTAGAAAGGGCAGGGGTGAGGGATATTGGTCTTAAATGTTTACAAATTTCGGTTACCGGTTTCGTTTTTATGATTGGAACAACATCAGCTGCTTTCCACGAGGCAGGGAGTCGTTGTTCATTAAAACTGCTATTGAGAATCGAACTGACAGGCTGGGCGAGGACTTCTGCATATTCGTTTAACACCCAATTCGGAACTCCGTCTGGGCCTGAGGCTTTTCTGGGGTTAAGGGACGCAAGCCCTTTATACACATCAAATTCATCGAGATGGAGGACAGAGTCATATGGATCGTAGGAGGGAAGAGAAGTAAGAGGTTGATAAGTTTTCATGGGGTCTAGGAAGGCTGTGTTTATGAGATTTGCAATCTCATTTGGAGACTTCCGGTCAATATCGTCAATGTAAATTTGGTTATATAGATCTTCCGCTCCCGTTGAGGGGGTCATACCAGCAATCGGTTTTACTTCTTTCCACCAACGACTTGGTTTTGACTTTTTTAGATGTTCAACCTTCAACGAATAAAACTTTTCACGGCATTTTTTACTTTCACGATTAACTCGGTTGCGGTAATACCTAAACAGTTCGTTATTGCCGTTAGAAAATGCTGCTTGGCGTTTTTTTATAAGAATCTTAAAATTAGCTGTGATCCAAGGGGGATCATTCACATGTAGTGTTATTCTTCTTTTAGGCATTAATATATTGATACCCAGGTTGATAAGATCAGTGAAAAGCTTAAGTTTTTCTTCACAGGTTTCGAGATGATTTAGGATGGACCAATTATACAGGAGGTTAGGTATCTTCCGAGTTCGCTCTTTTTACTGGGACGCATGTCTCTACTTATGACGACCTTTCGACTACCTGATTTATCGCATCTGTTTTTATGGTTTAGAATGACCACATTGTGATCTGAGAGGCCAAAGGGAGGATGTTTCTCTACAGAGTCTTTAGCGTAAAACGAGTATAAGTTGGTGATAATTAGATCAAGAGTCTTGTCGTATACGTGCTATATTTCACAAATACGGGCCATACGTTACATATACGGGCCATGTGTTACATATACGGGCTGTATGTTACATATACGGGCTGTATGTTACATATACGGGCTGTATTTTGCATATACGGGCTGTATTTTACATACACGGGCTGTAT